CATGAGAATCTGGATCAAGAGACAGTCAAAATCAATATTATGTTAATCATTTACTATAAAATCTGTCAAAAGGAAAGCCAGTTTTGAATTACAGGGAGAACAAGTGGGGTTCCCGATTGTCAGCACTTTTAATTATAAATGGTATGGTGAAAGTGAAAAACACCTTGTAAACAATAAAAACATTACTTTTCATTATCATCACCATTATAATTACTTATTAGTATTTTTCCTTCTTTTAATCAGGTTCCCACCATCTCCATAAGATCTTGGGCCCTGTTTGCTACCCCTCCATGGAAACATTTTACTCTTTTAGTCTTTTTTTTTATCTTGCCATCCTCTACTTCAAGATTCAATGACAGGTAATTGGGGTGGAGTTAAATAGCTTTGTCCACTCTCATCAATCAATAAGCAAGTATTTATTAAGAGTCTCCCAGGTACATCCAAAGCTCTATGAATGGCATGGCAACTAAGGGGCCACATTATTTGGGATCAGGTGATTCTGAATTTAAATCTTCCTTCTGCATTTACCAGCCACATGCCCTTGGGTAAATAATGAGTTCATCTCTCTGCTCCTCAGTTTCCATCAGAAAATATAAAGTGTATAATACTTCACAGGTCTGTTGTATTATGTGAGATAATAAATGTTAAAGAAAGTAGTGCTCCATAATATAGCTCCTGTCTACCTCATAAGGCTGTTGTTGCCCAGGATAAATGAGCCCATACTCAAAAGACAGTTATATTTCCTTGGAATAATTCTGCTGTATAAGTTCAGTTCTCTTAAATGAATTTTGCTGCTGTTGTTTCTGTCATTGTTTTTACTGGCACCAGGGGCTGGCAGTGACCATGTCTACAGGCTCTGAACAGCACTGGAACACGCCCTTATCATTTTTATTTTTGAATTCCCTCATTGCGTTGTTTTGGCTTGGGAATCATTTTTTTTCTTCGTTTAGTGCTGGTTTGGAGAAATAGCCAGATGTCTTTACAATTTGTCGTTTCTGGCCACATATTCTATTATTTAGATACTCCTCTTTGTTCAGCTAAGATATTCTGTCTACTAATGCTTTAGAGTCTAGAGAAGCTATAATTGTGCTGCTCTTGACATGTAAAATGGAAAACAATGAGAGATTAAAAATTGGAGATGGAGGGCTTAAATGTCACTACAGGCCTTTACCATTTTTTTGTAAAAGGGAAGAATAATCTTTTTAAAAGCTTTAGTTTTATATAAACTGCCTCTTACTGGTATGATGGCTCTGATGAAAGATTATTGAAATACCCATTAAAGTTGGCATAGCTCAAGAGAAGGGACTTTGGGGTTGGAGTTAACTGAGCAATTAACTGTCCCCTCAGATTAGCTACTTTGTCTGTAAGAATTGGGTGGTGTAGCTTCTCTTTGGTTTATATTCCTAGACCAAGAGCAGTAACTCCCAGCTTTTAAAATTCCATGCTGGCAGATGCTTGAGCACTTCATGATATTGCAGAAAACCAAAGGAGCATCTTGAATGTTAAATTAACCAAGTATCTTTGGTTTTCCCTGGGTAGGATTTACTCAGGAGCTGCTCTGATGTTGTCTCTTAACATATAGTCTGAGATTAATGACAAAGCAGAGTGAGATTTTATTTCCTGTGTCCTAGAGAAGCTCATTAGAAACTACTGGCTTGGCTTCCTCTTTTCTCAGAAATTCTAAGACATTTCAGCCTAACCAAATAAATGTTAACTTTTTGTTTTTGTTTTTGGTAATTATGCCATCTTGCTTTGAACAGAAAATACATCATTAGCATTCTAATGTTTAATGGGAGTTTCCATTAAAAGCTACTTATATTAAAATGGACTTATATTTGTCACAATCCCATTATACTATTAAGGAGAACTGTGCTTATTTTATTCTTTTCCTCTTTAAAATGCATTGCAAAAATAAATTTGTCAGCCTCTTGAAGATATTAACTATGCTTCATTTTTGTAAAGTACCCAAATGTTCATAAAGTTCTATCCCGCATTGTCTTACGCAAGGCTCATGTCATATAACCCTGTGGGACACACATTATTACCTGCATTTTACAGATAAGGATACCAAAATTCAGAAAGTTTCAAATTACAAAACTAAACTAAAATGGAACTCAAGGCCTTTGACTCCCTATCCAGTGGTCTTTGCACTTCACCATTGAAAACTCTTTCATATTAGCTGAGGTCTGAAATAAAACTTAGTTCTTCTCATCATCATAAAAAACATGAGGACACTTTGGAGGATGTATGGGTCTGCCATCAGTAAAAGAGGCAGTGAAAGGAGTTAAGCCAGGCCTGCAAACAAAAGCTGAAGAAATGAGGTCTCCCAAAAAGAGAAACCCCCAGTGGGTATATTCAAGTCATCTCAGATACTAAGAAGTTGGACTTTCAGTAGCACCTTATCTCACAGAGCAAAGCCTCTATGGTAATACCTGAGCTTATCATAAAGGGAAATTGTACAGGTGGAGTACTGAAGCATTGAGAATAAAAGGTCCCCAAGTGGCAGTAGAAAAATAATGACCTCATATTCAGTCAGGTTTAATAATCTACTGTTTACCAGATGACATGTTCATTGCTGTAAAAGACTTTGACAGCTTTGTTGTGATGTTCCTCTAAGCTACTTCCTCAGCAGGCTTCACATGCTCAGTCATTTTTTTCTTCTTTTTCCTGCCTGCCAACCTTAAGCAGTTCAGCCATGAGGTCTCTTCAGAGCTTCACTCAGCCACCTACATGCCAGTGCCCCCCAGGTGTTATCCCTAAGCTCAGCTCTTACCCTTTGGTCCAAGAATTACCTGCACAATGGACCTGCCCACTACTACCCACCAATGGGAACTGTATTGGGATTTTTCTCCCCTAAATTCTACATCCACAGAGTTCATTCTCCCCAGGAAGATAGTAACATGATCTGGAAGCCTTGAAGAAGGAGGCATTGAAAGACATTGCAGACCAGTGAGGAAGCTGACAAAAGTATAGAGATGAGGGTGAAGGGGTGTGGAGAGGAGTAAAGGGGCTGACCTGCGGGGCACAGAGGCTGGTGAGCAAGAGAGGCAGAGGTGGCTGTGCAAGCTGGGACCTCACAGGCTCTCAATAGGAAGAGACTGGCCTTGGTCCAGTGAACAGCTAAAAACAGATCAGGGACAAAAGTAACTGTATTGGGAAGATTAATATAACTGCACCCCCAGCCTAAAGAAAATGAACAGGAAAAATACAACCAAATGTTAAGAAATAAGGGAGGCACTAAGAGCTTGGACAAGGCAAGAGAAATTAAGGAGAAAGCATTTACTGACCATGGTGACTGAAGGAAGAAAGACATTAGAGAATGGCTTTAAGTTTTCTACATCAGTCACTCCACTTTAAAATGCCAATGCAAGATTAATCCAGATCCATTAAACTGGGATTTCTGAGGATGGTATCCTGTATGTGCTTTATAGCAGCTCCGCAAGCCATAGAGAACCACTAGCTTATAGAGCAAAGTCAATAGATTCTGGACTCACTACCTTTCAGTTAGCTTTCTCCTATTTCTGAGTGGGGCAGGTTTAACCCATCGCTAGGAGAGGTTTATAAACACAGAAGAAGAAGCTGACATACATCCAACGTATAGGAACAAGGGAATGCCTAACTGTGGTTCTGACTGCAAGAACAAGAACTCAGTGGAGGAGGGAGATGACTGTGGACCAGGGTGTCCACTGGAGAGAACTTTCTAGAGGAACTGGACATCATGCAGACCTTAGAATGGGTGAACTGTAACTAAAGACAGACAAGCAGACCAGTGAGCCAGTGAAAGTGGACAAAGCTTTGTGTGGCAGTTTTGAGCAGGGAAGTGTGGATGCTGCATTTAGAAAGCAGGGAAGGCAGGTGGCCTCCCCAGCCTCTCTAAGTTGCTTCTCTGTGGTGATCCTCATAAAGGCCATGGGGCAAGCGCACCTTTCTTTCCTTTTCGCATTTCTCCCATTTGTAGCGGGCCGTTTGCAGCTACATAATAGTTTTTATTCTCTCTCAGTGTGAATACATGTTAACCTCACACTAAGAGATAAATGACACATGATCATTAATGTTAGTCTGGCATATTAATAAATCTTTGCATAGTGATGTTACCTGTAGAAGGCCTATTTCATTCTCGCTACAGTCCAATGGAGAGGGGAAGTCAGAGGTTGTCTCCATCTTACAGATAGGGAAAGAAAGGCTCAAGAATCTAAGTGGCCACCTTAAGATCCAGAGCTAAGTGGAGAATGTGACTGGAGCACTTGAGCACAGTTTTCTTTCTGCCATGCTGTTCTGCATCTTGCTGCTCCATTTGCATTTCAGTAGGTATCAGAGCCCTGTGTTAAAGGCATGTGGCTGGAAGGAAGGACTTAGGTTATCAACCTGGAGACATGAAATTGATTCTCTCAGTGAAGCCCTGAATCACACTGTGAAGTTATTGCCTGTGCCTCAGCGTAACTGGCCAGTTGTGTGATATGATCACAGGCAAGTCAGAGAAAATTATCCTAGTATGACTTTACCTGTTCATAAAATGGAAATAACTATCTGCTTCCTAAAATTTTTCTGAGAATTTCCTGAAATGCCACCTGTAGCATAGCAGGCCACTGTAAACCTCACTTTCTCTCCCCCTTCCCGTTCCTGTTTTACCGACTCACACAGCAAACAATGCTAAATCAGAACCACGTCCTCATACCATCCATGCAAATCCCTTTTTATTGTGTCCTCTTTGCTTTGGCTTTTAGCCCTTCCTGTCTGTCACTGAGTCCTTGTGTTGGGCCACAGCAGCCATTTTTAGCAGCTCAACCAGCCAAGCATTGTCCCTCCTTGGTGCGATTGTGCCTGCTGGCTCCTCTGCCTGAAATCCATTTTGTTCTATTCATGCCCTTCCTGCTCCTCATTCTCCAGATGTCAGACCAGGGTCACTTTTTCAGGAAGAATTGAAGCAGGTTCCTCTTGCTATTTTTCTCACTGCGATTTTTCTTTGTTACTGCAATTTGTAACTATATCTTCTCCACTAGACTACAGATGCCCATATTGGCCAACCTCTTCGTAGCACACAGCACAGAATCTAGCACGTAAGTCATGTTCCACGAATATCTGTTGATGTGTGTGTTGAATGGATGCCGCTCTTGTCTCTCCCTTTTAGGATACCCTCCTATAGCCTCCTCACCAGATCATGCACTACGTTCCATAAAGAAAGCATGCCCGTGGAGCCCACTCCCATTCCCATTTCCTTCATTTTGTGACCCCAACATTTATTCATGCACTACGTGAATTAGGTTGTGTTTTCTGGTTGTTTCATGATTGTCTAATTGCATTATTAGTTTTTCAGGATTAGTTTTTCATTATTAGATCCTTCAAGATCATTTTTTGGAACCCTCCCCTCATAAACTGAGTTAAATAGCTGGAAACGCTATCAGTACTCAGTAATTTCTTAATAAGTAAACAAATAGAACAATCAACCTATCCAAGTATATCCCTTTTGTATAGAGATCATCTTTTCACATAGTAAATATGGAGATACCTTTGCAGGAAAACAATTTCTAACCAAACCCATTGCTGTAGTCTCTCTTCTTGGGTTACTCTTTTGAGTTTCAATAATAAGCAAATAGTCTTATCTTGAAAGGGGGATTGGATTTGTTTTTAATAAGAAAGACTGAATTGGAAGCTTGCATTTCCCCCAAAATTTAATAACAGCACTAGTAAAGCCTTCTACTCTTCAGCTCACCTTATTTCAAGTGTAGAAGTACAAAGCTTTCAGGTAAGCTTCTGCCACGATGTGAGAGTGTGACCCATATCACCGAAACAGTCTGACTCGCTGACAGCCAGGAGGGCTCCTCTGGCAGGAACATCTACTCTGAGCATGTTCTCAGAGTTAGTTGAATCCAGTACCAGGCAGAGTAGATGAAAGAAAAGAGGTCACTTGGAGCCATTGTCCTCAAACATTTGAGATCCTGATAGCTACCATTGATACCTTGGTAAGTAAAGAAATAGCTTTTGATCTTGCCCCCTTCCTCCATTCATAACTAGGACAAACCAAAAGACATGAAACTTAGAGGGGTCATTGCTATGCCCCAAATGATAACTTACTGAACTAGGATTTCAATTTCTACATTTGTCCTGTTATTCTGCAGCAGAATCTTCAGTTTGCTGGTTGCTCTGCTGATAAGCCTCAGGTTGCTCATTTTATCAGAATTCTTTGGATGAATAGCAACAATAACAACAAATATACATGCATATTTTTCCTTACTCAGAATTCCCATGTTATATATATATGTGTGTGTATTATTATATATTATGTATATAACATATATGTTATAATATATACATTTTAATTTACTTTGACAATTGCCGAGCAGGTTCTCAGGTTCTGTCTAGTTAGTATCTTTTCCCTTAGTTTATTATACTACTTGGCCAGGGAAAGGAAGGTAAGTTTTGCTAAATACTTGTTACACCAAGAACACCATCAAGGTATATGGTATGGTATCTATTGCTCATGTGACATCACTTAATCACTAGATTCCCATCCTTGCTTGGCTGCATGACAATCAACAGAGCCTATAAGGGCAACTACTGATGAATCCCTTCTGTCCTCATCTCTCAGTCTGCAGAAGTCCTGAAGGTTGATGGAGGGCCATGCTATTCAAACAGCAGGCATGGCTGAGACAGAAGCTCCTGGTGCTGGGAAGCCTTGCTATTGGGAGCCTCCTGTATCTAGTCGCCAGAGTTGGGAGCTTGGATAGGTAGGTGATTAAACATATACTTATGCCCATGAAACTTCAAGTGTCTCTTGACTTAAACTTCCTTAGGACATAATTTTAAATTTATCCATTTGTTTTCCTCCCTCAAAATTCCCCAGAAACATGCTTTTCTGCAGTACTGATTCTGATTTATGGAGCCTTTGAAAGAAAGAGATCCAAGTTGCTCAAAACAAGGTGCTTGTCAACATCCATTCGTATTCTGTGTGTGTTGACATTTGTTTTCAGAGAAGGGATAAAGCTGTGTATAGTAGAGTAACATTTATTTGAGCTCAGTGTGGTTGGTGTGCATCTGTTTATTGACCTCTAGCCATAGCAAAATAGTGATGATGTATTTATGTATCTTCATTTTGAAATTTATGAGTGAGCAATTAATGTGCTACCAGGAGAGTTAAAATTATGTATGAACCTGTAAAGGAGCTCATCAAGGTTGGAATCCATTGCCCTGGAAAGATGGATGCAAGCTTGGGGAGTTTTAACTATGTTAATTAGCTCTGGTTTCCAGGACCTGAACGTACCAGACAAGGAGCCTGTCACTCAGAGTAATTGCCCAGAAAGCAATGGAAATTCATGGAGAGGAAATTTACAGAGCTAGAGTTTGACTTTAAATAAGCAAACAGCTGAAAGATTCTAGGCCTGTAGAAGTCCCAGCAATAGCAGCCAGTTTTACATTGAACACCTCTGCACCGTCCCATACTCAGTATGATTGGAGCGATTAGAGAATTTCTGAATTGAGAAGCTTCCTTCTTTGTCCTTTAAAATTAATTCTTGTGCTGGAAAGACTGAAATATGTTCTCCATGAATTAAATTCTTGTTTTCTATGAAAATGCAGCCACACTTTAAAATAAAATTATTGTCCTTACAGTTTTTCTTTTATAATCTAAAAATCACATCACTTGGATATTTAATGAATAATATAGCAGTGTTCTTCATTTTCCTTCAGCGAGTGTCAATTTTTATGGCTAAAGTGAATCCCTTTGATGTTTTTCCATTCAAAATTCCTGAGTAAACTTCCCACTTACTAGTTGCTACCTATGGGAAATGTATAATCCAGTTTATCCCTGACTTCAGGTAATTCCCCAAAGCAGTGCTTAGCTATCAGGGAAAAGCCTTGAGACAGTACGACTGTCCTTATGTCCATAAATGGAACTTTTATATCAACTCATTCCCAATAGCTTTCATCAACTTTCAATCATTTGTTTTTTATTGAGTATTTTTATAATCATTAGCACATTAGTTATTCAGTTGATGATTCTTTTCATTTTTAATTCAGTCCCTAGTTTCTAAATGGATAGCTTTTATAAAGAATCAGATTGCTTAGTGGACTTTCTCAAAACTCTCACATGAGAATTTGAGAAAATTGTCTCAAGTTGACAAATGCTTCCTTAGGCCTGTCCTTCAATAACTGAAGATGCTGCTTCTCAGTGGGGGGCTGAGCTCAGTTACTTCTAGTATCACTTCCAGTCTTAAGAGTCCATATTTTTTAGTCTGTGAACCATGTTCAGAATCTACTCTTCAGGAAGTAGAAATAATGTGATATTTTCTCCTATCTTGAGTTAGGGAGTCCAAAACCCAGTTGTTCTGCAGGGAGTGAGTTCCCAAAGCTGAAGGTAGAAAGAGGAAGAAAGGAAAGAAGGAAAATGGCCCTTTCTAGAGGTGGGGAATTCCTTTCCAGCTCTAATGGGGCCAAGACTGCTTCTGCCACTCCCCGCTGGGTTCTGTGAGAGAATTAAATCCTATGGAAAAGGAGTTGATTGACTATTTCCTCAATTCTCCCAAAGATGTCTCTAGATCATTCTAAATGGATAGGGAAAAAGTAGTATCCATTACATTGAAGGGATTCCTTAGGAAATTAGCACTTGCTCTCAACCAGAACCCAAGAGCTAAAAGATGAATTTCTGATATCCCTATCAATGTCACAGTTAAAATATGTATGTGTTGCTACTTTGATAACTTCTGTTTAGAGCTCTAGCATATTAATCCTGTTAACAAAACTTACAAAAACAAAATTCACGTTTCTCTAAAATATTAACTGTGATGAACTACTTTTTATACTATTCTATATTGTCATATCTACAATGAGTATAAATAGTTTTTTAAATCACAAAAAACAAATACTGCAAAAAATAAAATATGTTTACATTTTCCATTAAGCATTATGATAGCTACTGTTTAAGCAGAGCACAGGCCAACCCCCTTTGTCCTCTGCTCTGCAGAGTGCCTTGGACTGGCCTGGAGGATTCTCTCCTCTCCCTCTGATTATAAACATTACAGAAGATAAGAAAGGTATAATAGTACCTCTTGAGAATAGCAAGATATGGCCTTATTGCCAAAGAGAAGGCATAGACTCTAATTTATTTAGGATAACCAGAAGCTTCAGTTGGAGGAACTGATTTAACAGCTATTTTAACTATTATTACACCCTTTAACAAGAGGGCTAAAATGCCCTCTTAGATAAACTTAGGGAAATTAAAATGAATTTCAGTTCAGTTCCAGAGTATACCCAAAAGTAAATGCAATTTACTAACCATATATATTGGCTATGCCAAATTGAATAGTCACTTCAATCTAATATCATCAGGATTGTTACCACACCCACACCTTTCTCTCTGAAAAAAGCAGTGGTGGTAGTTTACTATCTAGGGCAGTATTGAAGTGACTCCATCCCTGGCATTTCTTCTTTCATGAGCCTAAGTTCCTGACTTAAATGGGCTTGGCAATGAGGACCTGAAGTTTCTAGCCCTGCCAAGATCTTGTTGATTTCTGGTCCCAGGTGTGGTAGGTGATACACAGCACTTGCTGATAGCAGTGGGTTTGTTTCTGCATCCTGCAAAGTAAAAACATAATCCTGACCTCTTTAGATAGAAAGAGAAAGAGAGACAGAAGAAATACAGCACTTTTCTAGTTGTCCCCAAGGCCAACAGCAGAAATTCTCAGAGAATGAAAAGCTCAGCAAATGCCAAGATTGGATTTTGCAGGTTGATGATGCAAACATCCAAGGGCAGAGACTGGGACCTCTTTCCAGATTATACCTCAAAGATTTTTAAGAGTTCTATGAGTGCTGCTGAGCTGCAAGAAAATATACTACACGAAACCCAAAAGACATAGCTTCCCAGCTGCCCTTCAGCCTCCTGGCTAAGATTATAATCCGCCTTTCACGTTTTCTAAATGAGCCGTTATGGCTCACGTTAACTGGTGAGCCATTAAAAGGATATTAATATGGCTGGTGTCACTTGTCTGTCCTGTACTGTGAACATAATAAGTACATGCCATAGTCAATTAAGTTTTTGGTGAATAAAATTTTAAGAAGCACTAATAAAAAAATCCTATCAATTATGTGTGCTCCATTTTAGACAGGGTTGCTGAAAATAAAATTTCCCGAACATGTGCTCATTATGGTTTGCAGTGGGCTAGGACCAGTAGTTTTATTTAAGCATTTAGTGTCAGTCTGAGAGGGGAACCAGAAAAATGAAAAGTTAGCTGCAATAAACTTCTGAAAGTGTCTCTCTTTTCTTTTAGGCTACAACCCATTTGCCCCATTGAAGGCCGATTCGGAGCCCGCAGTCAGGCCGAATTCCCACTTCGAGCCCTGCAGTTTAAGCGTGGCCTGCTGCATGAGTTCCGGAAGGGCAACACATCCAAGGAGCAGGGTCGCCTTCGTGACCTGGTTCAACAGCTCCCCAAGGCCATCATCATTGGTGTGAGGAAAGGAGGCACAAGAGCTCTGCTTGAGATGCTGAACCTCCATCCAGCAGTGGTCAAAGCCTCTCAAGAAATCCACTTTTTTGACAACGATGAGAATTATGCCAAGGGCACTGAGTGGTATAGGAAAAAGATGCCCTTTTCCTACCCTCGGCAAATCACAATTGAAAAGAGCCCAGCGTATTTCATCACGGAGGAGGTTCCAGAAAGGATTTACAAAATGAACTCATCCGTCAAGCTGTTGATCATTGTCAGGGAGCCCACCACACGAGCTATTTCTGATTACACTCAGGTGCTAGAGGGAAAGGAGAGGAAGAATAAAACTTACTATAAGTTTGAGAAGCTGGCAATAGACCCTAATACCTGTGAAGTGAACACAAAATACAAAGCAGTAAGAACCAGTATCTACACCAAACATCTGGAGAGATGGTTAAAGTACTTTCCGATTGAACAATTTCACATTGTCGATGGAGATCGCCTCATCACGGAACCTCTGCCAGAACTTCAGCTCGTGGAGAAGTTCTTAAATCTTCCCCCAAGGATAAGTCAATACAATTTATATTTCAATGCTACCAGAGGGTTTTACTGCTTGCGATTTAACATTATCTTTAATAAGTGCCTGGCAGGCAGCAAGGGGCGCATTCATCCAGAGGTGGACCCCTCTGTCATTACCAAATTGCGCAAATTCTTTCACCCTTTTAATCAAAAATTTTACCAGATCACTGGGAGGACATTGAACTGGCCCTAAAATAGTAAGTCATACAACACTATGTGTTGTGCCCGGAGACGAGCACTGTCTCTTCAAGATTAAAATATGCACTTTTCCTAGACACAACTATCCAGTTCATTTTTCCATCTATACTTGCACATATGCAGTGTGTGACCAAATATAAGATCAGTTCTTTTTCTATTGAAAATTTACAAAATACAATTTGCTGTCTGCATAGTTGCATCTTTTAAGCTATTTACAAAAAGAAGAGGTGGTGGTTTGGGGGAAAAGTGACTTCAGCTATTCTAAAAGAGTTAGTCTACCTTTGAGTCAGAATTTGTCACCTACCATTTTCATAGATTTAAGCCAAAAGATTTATGTGTGAAAACATACCAATGGCTGTGAGGCTTCAGGAAGTAAAGGATTCAGTATGCATTCTTTTCTAAGGGCAAGCTGGCTCTTCAATTCAGATGCTGAATTGGTGTCATGAAAACAGAAAATACTATTTTCTTATTATTTAAGAGAATATGTTATCTCATAAAACTGACACTGTTCCAAAGTTCCTGTTGTGATTTTGCACTATCGTTTTCTCACATGGACCGTGGTGTCCCTGGTAGCATGTCAATCACATTAGGAAGTCGTCCTTTTACTTCCATGTTCTGTGTCAACAAAGAGAATGTCGTGTACATAATGTATATTGTTGTAAATACTGGTTTCACACTAAGTAATTCTATTTTGTAAACTGAATATGGCTATTTAATTTATTGTGAAAATTAAATTTATTGTGGTATTTAAAAATGGAATGGATTAAAATTACTCTATGTGCAACATTTTTTTTTTTACCCATTTTATTTTACATGCCCCCAAAATCAAAGCTGTTGTGCACATGAGAGCACTTGGAAATATGTGATTCTCTGTTGGATTTCTGTACCCTTGTGAAAATGTATTTATGAAGTGGGGTTGAGTCTATTGCAAAAAAATCTCAACCATCTGGAAACCTAGCGTAATAGCCACCTCAAAGACAGCCACCTAGAGGTGCTCTGTTACAGCTGTGTAACAGTTAATTTATTTGTAGTTGCTGCTGTGCTGGGAGAGAGACAAAAATACCTTCACATAATTAAGGCATAGAAGAATCACTATATTATTTGAACTTCTAATCAGAGTCAAATCAGTAGAGAAATTAAATAAAATAAGATCAGAAAATTTGTGTGGCCTTGGTACTGAAAGCTGCAGATGCTTCAAAAATGAATACAAACTCTCAGAACTCCCTAAGATGAAAAATATATCATTCTGCTCATAAATGATCAAATTGCACAGTGTTGTTATTACTAACATACATATATGGCTCTTAGTTCCTCCAGAGAAATTAATCCTAAATTGGGTGCTTACTAATATTAGATACAGTCTGTACCATGCTTAAATATAATTCTGAAAACTGTAGAAAGAGGTATCAAGAAAAAAAAGGTGATGGATTTTTCACAATCATGGCTGCTTATCCAATAGAAGATGGTTGAGGGAGTTTAACATCATACTGAGAGTGCCTAGAGAAATCAGCAAATTACAATGACTGTAATAAGTGTTGATTTTCCTCATGAATTGTTTATCCTGTCCAGTGATTTGATGGTGAACTTTTCAAATAAATAGCCCTTTTCCCTCCAGTGTTGGTATATATATTGCTTCTCAAGGTTCAGCCTGGGTAATCACCTCTACAGTTTCAATTAGCAGTGATGCTGTTCTCTCACAGTGGAACAGGCATGATGCCAGCACGCGCTGACAGGCCTGCCTTCTTGCTTACTGTGCAGTGGATCTAGAGTGAGAGTTTCCAGTCTGAATGTCAATCCCTTCTCCCTTAAACCATGATGAAATTAAAATACAGAATCTGGCATCAGTTATACCTCATTAGAACATTGATATTTCAAAACTTTGACCTAGGTTTTTCACCAGTAAAGTTGAAAGATGGCAATCTTTTCCTAGACTTACAGACAAACGTTTAAAAATGAATAGAAATTTCTCAGTGATTTTTAATAGCTTATTTTCTTTATTACATGGTTAATACATGTTCATAGCTAATAAATGAGAAAATACAAATAGCAAGAATAAAGAGTAAATTAAAATAGTCATAATCTGCCTACTCGGGGAAAACCACTGTCACTGTTTCAGTGTACATCCTCCAGATCCAAGGCCAGCAAACATTTTCTGTGAAGGACTAGACAGTAAATATTGTAGGCTTTGTAGGTAAAGATATTAAACTGAGGATTTTATGTAGACACTTGACAACAAGAGAGAATACAAATTACCATAAAACTCTTACTGACCATGTCCAAAATATAGAACAACAACAATAATAATAACTGAGTACAATTTTTTTGTAACAGAGGCCTACTAATGGTAAGGATGGAACTCTTTTTTGGGAGAGGCTAATATTTTAATAGCTTAATTGGAGCTCAAAGTTAGTGTTTTCACTAGCATTCGTCAAAATCTATTGCAAATGTTCAGCTTCAATTAATACTGATCTGTAATGAAATTTCATGTATTCATCTTTTCACACAGCCAGGTACTTCCAAATACTGATATCAATCCACAAGCCTACAATTTTAATTGAGCATATTCATTGTTTGGAACATAGTTTCAAAATTCTATTTAGATTCTCTTCCTATTTGCCTTTTAAGCATGGCATTAAAATGCAGATTAGTCACTTCCAATTGAAGATCACGTGGAAGCTCCTCAATTAAAATTAAATAGATTTTGAAACATGGTAATTTCCTTTATACTTGCATGGAGGTTCAAAAATGTTGTTGGAACTATACTTTAAGCTCTGAAAATATATCCACTAAAATTAGTGTGGGAATGGAGATCTAACTTCTCATTTTAACTTTTGAAAGCAAAGTGTAAAGCAGCCTGGGATTACTTGTGATTCAAGCAATGTTAGTTACCATTAAAAGGATATAAGTTTGCCTGTAAACACTGTTTTGGCTTTTAATTTTAGATTGAATTCATTAAGAAGCATATCAAGTCTGCAGTAGAAGTTAATTTTCAAAACCATTGTTCAATATTAATGATTGCTTAATAAATTCATAAACAAAAACAATAAATGTAAGTTATTATTCAGAAAAATTTCAGTCTCAAGCCCAACTTCAAACATTGCAATAAAACCTCACTACTGCTAAGCCTCAGAACTGTGGGGTAGTAATGAAAATTAGGATATTTAGCTTCTATCTGTGACAAAAATTCATGGAAATGACAATGGTTAAGTCCACAACAAATGACACTATAGATTCATTTAACACATGAGAGGCCCAAATATTTTCTGCCAAGTACTTGCTGCTGTATAATACAATGAGTAACCATTGTTTGTTTTTTTATTAAAGCATCATTAATACACAATATTATGTTGGTTTCAGATGTACATCATAGTTGTTCAACAGTCCCTGTGATCAACGTCTATTGTGACTGCAAATTATTGTGCCCTTCTACCCTCTCCCCATCCCCCCCAATAATTTTTTATATATCTCAAATTTTTCCTAAACTTTGTGACTGCTACCAATGGTGTGTATTACTTTGACTTATGCTGACTTCATCATTTATTATTTTTATCCCAATAAGCCAGTTGTCTTGCAAATAGGTTTCAGCCCCAGGCAAGTTCACTGTGGATTCAGTGTGACCAAAGATGTGACAGAAAAACATTCTTGGGGTGAAAGGGTCATACCCAACTTTATTCCCACAGTGGCAGGTCAATCACTAAAATCCTGTTCACTCAGAGCGAGTCCACATGCAGCAAGCTGGTCTCTGCCTCTGGGCCTTTCTGCCTGCACAGCCGCCCAGTATTTGTCCTCAGCACTGCCACCACTCCAGCCTCTGCTCTCCTGCAGCTTACCACAGTGTTGCCCAGACCACTGGGCAGGGCTGTTTATATAGAGTCAATAACAACGTATTGCCCACACATGTGTAGTGAGTTAGCCAACCAGGGCTAGGTGAGAATCCTGGCCACAGGAACCTTCATTTTATCCACACCAGTGTTTCTTCATCATGCTAAGAAAGAAACACTATGATTTCCAGTTCTGCTTCCTAAGTCTGAGAATTGTTTCAAATCCTTGGAGCCTCCCCACAGAGACCTAAAGTAGGAGGCCCAGCCTGTGAAGATATTTTTGGAGGTAGATTTCATTCCACTGGGTGAGGATAAAGTGAAGGTTCCTCTGGCCAGGATCCTCACCTGAACCTAAACTACTTGATGATGTAACTGGCCCTACTGCTAGGCTACTGTTTCCACATCCACAGGCAATAAGCTATTATTGACTGAGACACTATATAAAAAGCTCTGCCCAGTTCTCTGCACAGAGGCAGAGACAAGGAGGATTACAGACCTGCAGACTATTGGATGCAGATGTAATTCTAGTGTTCGATCTATCACTGGGAGAACAAGCCAGGTAATAAACCCTTTCACCCCAAGAATGTCCCATTGTCATTCCTCAGTCTCACTGAATCCATAGTGAACTTGCCTGGGACTGAAACCCATTGTTTTCAGACAGTGGGGGAACAGCCACAGCCACTTCTGATAGAGCTAGGAAGAGAGAAATAAAAACCCTATGACTTAGTAGCATACTTCCGCTGGAGGTTTTAAATCTTCTTATTTAGCAAAATGTTTCATCTTTTCATCAAACAAGCAGCTGACCTCTAGAGAAATCTCCAGCTCATTACAGTAGGTCCACTAGGGCTTTCTAATAAGCTACTCCTTTTACATCTGAAACTTCGTATTCCTTCCAGAGGTTTTAGTGGCACCATGCGGCTTTGTGAAACAGCTCTAGCTGCAAAGAGAAAAAACTAAGAAATAGTGAAGTTTCTACTGGATCATAAAGCTGAAACTAAACCATTTCGGAAACCAAGGAATTTCAAGTATAATTACACAAATAGGAACTAGAGTCCCAAAGGAGTGAGAGAAACTAGGGAATAGAGAGAAAAAGAGACATACAAACCCAGAGACAGACACCTTAAATTCCCAGTCCATCACCTACTATCCTGAAATCACCTCACCTAAGCCCTCAGCTGACTAAGGTACTAACTTTTCCTCCCAATTACACTGTGCTATAGAAAAAAAATCCAAGACATTGGGGTACTAAATGTATAATAAAGTAAAGGCATGGAAAACCCTCATTATCATGTCTGATTTTAGATTTAGTGTCTTTTAAGTTGTTGGACCAGCAAGAAATCAGTTGCCAACCCAGTCCCACTCAGGCTGACGTAGCCTCAAGAGAGCACCACCTGCAGCGTGGGGCTGGGACAAGGGCCCTGCTGGAGGGCAAGCTCAAGGACCTGCGGGAGCATTACCCGGGGCGTGAGCACTGTGGGAGCCAAGGACAAGTGCAGTGCAATTTCCAGCCCTGCCAATAAGCTCTTGCTTTCTCCAATTAGCAGTTTGCTAAATTGGATTGCCTTCATAAGCCTAATTGGAGAATTTTCCAGGGATGAAGAATTTCAAATGATCATAGTGTCTTCCTGCTAAAGTCTTTTGTACTCATTTTGCACACTCAGCAACCATTTTCCCACTTAAGAAAATAGTCTACAGTCTAAGTAAAAAAAGAAAACTTGACTGAAAACATTTTCCCTAAAAATGATGAAATACTGTAAAAATCTTAGCAATTTGGACTAACAAGGTGAAAATCAGAATATTTTAAAACAAATTCATTGCAATTATTCCAAGTAAACTGAAATATCTAATCATACTTACTTTACTAATAAAAGCCTTTTCATTGGCATTTTTTTTTCAAATTGGTGTTACTCAGGTATTTCAAAACAGTCTGTCCTTTTAAGTAGGTTATTCAGGCCCCTAGCATCTGTTTATCAATTTTTATAGCAAACCTTTCTTTTATAGCTAGTGCAAAAATGAAATTTAGGCCAAATATCATTTGTAAGGTTCTAACAAATGGTGCCTTACTACACACCTTGCAAGAACAATTTCTTTACATATTGAGCTTTTAAAGAATACCTTTTAGGAATGAGAGTGCTATTTCATAATGATTGTAAATGAACTGGGGAGTTGAAAAGGCAGAACTGAACTGATAGCAGTATGCATTTCCCATGGAGTGTGCCTGATTGATATTCCAAGAACATGTGTCTGTTATTTAAAGGCAGCTCAGGTGAAAAGCAATACTCTTTCAGTCATATAAAGTAGACAGCACCATGCATGGTGCCTTATCAGACAAGTTCCATCATTTCTGAATTTGTGAACAGTATCAGTCTACCCAGTCTTGGAGAACTGTTGGTGAAAGGGTTGTTTCTAGACATACATGTGATCCCCCTTTAAAAACAGTCCGCCAAGAAAATAAGTCACTTCTAGTCTCATTTCAAAGAGCTGACTCACCTCTAACATTTCTAAATGTGCACAAGTCTGTTTTGCATTTCCTTTTCTTAAATACACCATAGAACAACCTTTAAGGCTAACTGCAAAACTGCCCATTTCTTTGGTGAGGCCACAGGGAAACTCACGTAAATGTTTGGACACGGAGTGAAAGAACTCCTAACTGCTGCCTGTCAGGTCATCTAATACTGTCTCCTAGAAATAAATGTAATGCAAACACTTAAAAGGTGAGAACTTCCGGCAATACCAGATGACAATGTCACCACACTAGGCAGAATTAACAGTATGAATGGGTAAGCCAAAGTCCAGAGACCAGAGCAGCGAACTAGCTAAGGTGACACTTGAACCAAGAAAAAGATCATCACTTCTCACCAGGCAGGCATGCAGAGGCGTATTCCAGGAGGAGGGGAACACCAGAGCAGACACATGAGGCAGGAAAGAGACTAGGAAATCCAGCAAGGCTGTGGAGTAGACCATGTATAAGAAGATGTGGCTGATGAGAACGGAAGCCCAACCAGAGCTTCTCAGGCCTTGAGCTTGTCCACCCTGGTTGGCACACCCATGGCCCATGATGAGTGCCTGGCTGGGCACTCAGGCTAGGCCTACCTCCTTAAGTCTGCACCCAGCTCACCCTTAGAAGCTAGGAGTTTAAGAATGGGAAAATGATGAGATTGGTATTTTGAAAGTTCTCTTCCAAGCGGCTGGTGCCCAAGGAACCACAGTTTTCCTTTCCTTCCTTCTTCACTATTTGGGTCTCTCCCTTCTCTTACTGGCCAGTAGCTTTGCTGCAACTGATGAGATCCTGCATGTCTGGCTCATGTTCTCTAGAACTGAGCAAAAATGTGTTTTCAAATCCCATTCTCCAGACATGGTTACCATAGAAGAGTCATATTGTCTCCCTGCCACCAAGCTTCTCACTATAGATCCACCCATCCTAATGTTACCTGATGTTAGAACATGTTGCCTCCCAGATTATTATCTTCTCAAAAGAAGTAATTTAATCAAGAGACAGATGTAGGATGGTTTTAAATAGCAAGAGTTTATTAAGCAAAACATAAGTACACTCTCAAGAAGGATGGAGAGCAGGCTGTCTGGAAACCAGAAGCAGCTTTGCTATTAGGATTAGGTTGGCTTTTATTTTTTTCTTAAGATGGCAGGAAGTCCTGCCCTGCATATGCCATTTGATTGACAGGTTGATTAACAGTTCTAGGTTATATAACTTTTTTCTCAGTGTGCAGGCACTTTACCACTAAGACTTAAGCAAAGCCCACAGGGTGGCCAAAACCACAGTGCTAATTAGATTTAGATGTTATTTTAATGAGGGGGGTTACATTTAGACAAGGTCTTTGAACCTTGAGCATGCCCTATAATCAGGGAAGCATGTGGTCTTGACTATATAGGTGTCCTTGACTGTCTGCACCTCCTGGGAACTAAGGAGGGCTTAGGGGTTGGCCAGGGAGGAGTCTTCCTTGGTGATGGGCTGGTCCCTTTCTCCTGCTTAGGTCTAAGTAACTGCCCACTCTAACACTGAGATTGTGTCAAGAGATGCAGGAATGAGAAGAAAACCAATCACAATATTCTCCTTCAAGTAAGGCACACTAGCATTTTCAAAAATGTCCAGGAAATGTATGTTTCATTGAAAACAAAGGAAATACAAGTTAAACTTTCTAAGTGAAATGAGTAAATCAATTCACCTCTTTGGACTTGAGCTTCCTTTAAATAAAATACGAGGATCAAATTAGGGGATGTCAAGGATCTTTCAGTATGACCATTGTACCATTAGAGGAAAGTGATTATTGGAGCATTGTGTGTACACCACACATCACAGAAATAGGAGTATGA